GCCTGATTTAAATGTCACACCTGAACGCTCACATCCTTTTAATTATGTTTGAAATTATGAACATTGCTCAAAATCATGAAAATTAAACCTTATTTTCAATAAGCAATCCTGAAAAATATTTGGGGGTGCTTAACTTTTTTCCAGGTGTATATATATGTGAAGTAGTTGTGCAAGTTTTTATGGAATGTGTCTTTGAAGTTGCTTTGAAATGAGAAAAGTGAGTTGTACTTCTTGCATATCTACATCCAATGATGTATGCACCTGAGTTTCTATCTGAGTTTTTGAAATAGACATCATCTTAAACTAGTTTGAACTGGTTAACTTGCATCTGAAAACAAATACAGGATAAAGTGGATTTGTACTGCTTTTATATGTTTGTTTACATTTTTAAGTGTTTTCTAAGCCTCATTTGTGTTAAGTACTTAAAAAGGTTCTTATTCCCATTACATTAGATTGCAGATTCCCTTGGATCGTTAGCCTATGCTGATTCTGAAGAAGCATCTCCAGGTGGTCTCGTCATGTACAATATTGAAACAAACATGACAAGTAATTCTTTTTCCAACTACAGAGTTTTAGTAGATGTTCCTATCTCTGGTGGTCTTCCTCAGCTAGAGCCATGCAGTGGTAAACTACTAAAGGAGAAAGCAGGATTCAATATTCCATATGTTAATAACACCCCTATTGAACCCGTGTTTGATAATACAAAATACATATTTGACTTTGGGCGAATATATACTTCAAAACAGGTAATCAAACAGAACATGTTTTAGTGTTAAGTTTAGACATTGCATCCTGTTGCAGTTATAATTGACAATCAAATAACTTTTATTAAGTTGGGGTAACATAGTGTTACAAAAGTAATCCATTCATAAGTAGTGAAAACAGTATTGTGCTAGAAGGAAACATTCAGTAAGGTCAAAACATTTGTCCACCTTTACCAATTCAACCAATATTAGTCAACTAGGAAAATATACTGTGTTACAAACTTTCCTTAAAGCTGTATTGTTACTTATACATCTGGGAACTGCTACAAAGAAAATAAAATATCAGGGCCTTTAGGAATCTTTTTTTGAAAAATAATTTAAAAATTCAAATATTACAGATATGTCTGTTAATTGTTGCCAAACTAGACTTGACTGTTAAATACAAAATTTTTGGTAGTCCTTGATAAGAAAATATATTTCTGATAATTGTTGGTTTATTACGTTTCACTGGTATGTGAGTAGTTTTCTGGTAGTTCTTAGTATAGTTGATCTGTCTCACAAGTAAAGAAAAAAACTTTTCAAAAAAGGAAGTAAATATAGGGATGGCTAATATTAATGTTTTTTAATGCAGTTTTCCAACTGTAATATTTATTGTTTATCTATTATTGACTGGTAATTCCTGTTTCACCCTGTACTTAAGCTTTTTAAAGAAACACCAAATTTCTGTAAGAAAATTAACTTCAAGGGATAATGATAACATCGTTTACACTAGAATTATGATTTTTTAAAATTACTACTGGTTAGTAATACTTATAAAAGTGGATACTCCGTTTGAAACTGTCACCTCAGTGAATTTGGTTGACACCATTGTTTTGGTTTTTTACACATACTCCCAGAACTTGTGACTCAGTCATTACATAGATATTGTTATAAAAGGAAACACTGTATAGTATTGTAAATTTCTGATGACCAATTGAATAAATATTTAAAATACCATTTTGATGAACAATCCAAGTTATCCCTACATAGGCAGTGCTACAGCCTGCTTGATAAGTAGAGATGTTTCTAGTAATTGGTACATTTTATTTGTCTGTTAAAACCATAGATTCAAGTTTACTATAATGATTGAACAATTAAGATTTTTTTCATTGTCCCTCCCTTTCTCCAACATTTGATGCTTACTTATGTAATGTTGAATGACCCCAATAAAACAAATGAAACTACGATGGTGCATTTTAAACTATTATCTGTATTAATCAAATGGACATTAGTTTTCTCAGCTATGTACTTGACCTTTTAGGGAGAGATATACATCTGGTAAGTATTAATATATATGTCTGGTAATTCTTGGTACAGTTGATCTATTTGGTGAGTAAGATCAGTAATTGTTGGTGCATTTAATTGTATGATAAATATAAGTGTCTGTTAAATAATTGTTAATATTTTTATCTATCTATCTTGTAAACATAGGTATAAGTCTGGTGATTATTTTTCCTCAAACCTACTTATAAGCATGATTATTTCTCTGAAAGATCTTTCAGCAGTCAACTGGTGTTATAATGGTTTGTAGATTAAACCTGATAGTTTTCATTAAAGTTTGGTCAAGTATTGGTAAGTTAATTGAAGGTACATTTTATTTGATAATTGTTGGTTAATTTCTGATAAGTGTTGAGTACAATGTGTGATTTGCCAAAAAACAAAAGAATATTACTTAATATCTCTTTATTTTCTTTAATGAATGATAAACATTTTGTCCTTATGATTACTGAAAGTGCATAATAGCTGTCTTGTTAAGTAAATGTTAGTATGAGAGTACTGTCAAATAAATATCACTTTAACTGGTAGAGTAAATGTTGTGGTGAGTAAATTATGCTATTATAGCTGTAAAATATATCATCTCCAGGTTTTAGTTGAGATAGTGTATTAAATTCTGTAAACAATTTTGGGCAATTATCTACTATAATGTATTTAGAACTGATGAATTAGAACTCTTTGTTCCTTTGAAATTGTTGAACAATAAGTAATCAATAAAGTTCTGCTGACTCTGTCAAAATACACTTTCAGTCGTACCACTTAGGCTTGTAAAGAACAAACATGAAACGATATCATTCTAGTGCTAATTAAAACTAGCAAAGCTATTATTAAAAGTTACCTTATATATATATATGTAGTTCATTGTCATTATTTTTTTGTGTATTAACATTCCTTACAGTGTAATTATTTAATATTTAATTTTTATTGTGATTGACTATCTGTATTTTTTAGCGTTACCCTCATAAGCTTCAGGACAACATAGTTGTGGTGGAAATTGTTTTGAGAGTTGCTTCCCATGATGCCAATACAAATGGTACAGAACTTGCTTTCGAAATGGAAGTGGATCATACTGGAACACCCTCTGCAATTATAGTAGCACCATTAACAGTGACTATACCAGTAAGAAAATTCAAACTACAACAACAGATTTGCATGAATGTTTATAGTGAAATTTTCACTACTTAGAAAACAAAATCAGTTCATTGGCAAGTACTTCAGGAGTTTAAATTAAATTGTTGTCTAAAGGTGCAAAAATTACTGCAAAATTATCCAGGAAAAATCCATATGTTTGAGTTTATTGATCTAAAATGATATTTTGAATGTGGAAGGAAACTTCTATATGTTGCATTTTAAAGTTTTCTTTAATTTACATTTTGTTACTTATAAGCTTTTTAACCTGTATAAATTAACCAGCTGATTAAGGTGTATTATGAAATATGTGAAAGAAACACATAATATTTTTTTAAATATATAGTCATACCTTCCTGTACCCAACATAAGCTTGGAAAGTGCTGTGGAATGGAGTGATTTTTATGTTGGAGGTGCTATTGCTCTTGACGTGGTCATCAACATGCCTCCAGGTGTTGGTTATGGGGATGTTATTTTTGAAGCTGTGGGTGAAAATGATACAAGCCTTCCAAACATACATATTTGCAGTGCTGAGTTGACTCACATTGGGAGTAGCCTTCCTTGTACATTAGTATACAAGGATCTGATTAATCAGAATCAAACCATATATGATATTATGTAAGTACTTTATTAAATAGTTTTTATCTAATTTAATTTAGTATGAGATACTCAGGACTTTGTTTGGTATGTATATATAAATACGTTTTCATATATCATTCTTGGAATTAAAACAGATAAATATATATGAATGAATGGCAGAAATACTTCTCTGTATTAACAAATATGTTTTATGGCAAAAAAATTTAATATTTAAATTGCTACCCATAAAGACATAGTTTGTTTTAACAGGCTGTGAACAAGTAAGTTTTAGTTAGTGACCCATGGCTCAAAAGCTTGTCCATCTCTTATGTTAAGATAAGACTTCCTATTTATTTACTTCCATCTATAACAATTAAAACACTTCTTAGGAAGGGACTGAAAATTATTGTTAGTCATTCTGAATGAAGAGAGTTGGGCTACTTTCTTGCTTACTCTTGATCTCTGCTTCTGATGTCCCACTGAGCTGACTTACTTACTTACTTGACGTGAGTTGAACCTATGCTGAAATGTATGTACAGTGAACTGTTAGTTAAGCACGTTTGTTTAGTCTGATTGATACTAGCAGAAACTGGGTTATGATTTTACTCAGCCTTCCACATTGCTGCCTGTTTATCTCGATAAACACCCACACTAGTAGAGGTTAATAAGGTACACTTAACTTGTCACCTTATTTCCTGCTTTTTATGGTTGTTTTCTATAACTTGGGCCAATTGTTTGTACAATCATAACTTGTGTTGCTGACAGCATCTTATCTTGTGACAGCTGTTTTTAGAAAAACTCTACATAAATTCCAGTTAATAACATAGCCACATGTGGATAGACAATCAAATATTTCTTCCATGCTAATAACATCTACACTATTTATTGGTGTAGTCAGTCAGTTTAAGTTTACTTGACCTAGATTTAAATTACATGCATTCATAAATTGTTATGGAAAAAGTTACGTTTTTATATAAACTTTTCTTACTGCCTATTCATATTATTTTATTACTTTTTCAACTGTAACACTTCTTTCAGACATATTTTTTTTAGTGAAAAACATTTAGGCACTGAAAGTGATATGCTTTATGGAACAATACTAGAGATAAAATTACTCACTCAGTGGAACAGTCATGTCAGGGTTGTATGTCATACAACCCCTCTTTTAAACTTGCTTTATGCTTGAAAATGTTGCATATCTTATTCAAAGAGAACTATTTCCACCTTATGGGAAATGGTATAAATTAAAATCACACTGCACATTGGGTGTTTACTGTGAGTACATTATAAGAGTAACCCATTAGTAGGCTTGGTGTGAAATCCAACAAAACAAACACAGAAACATTTTACCTATTGGGAAGTAGTAAAAATTACTCAGTTACTTGCACCTGCTTTGTACTTATAATCATTGTGTAGCTTTCATATCTCTTCCAAAGAAGTAGTAAAAAATCACTTACTTAGTTGTGTATTGTGGTATGGTGGGAGATGAAAGTGTTTCTTTTAAACTCAATCTAATTTGAAAGGTCCAAGCAGCATCTGTAAAGATTGAATGCATGAAAATACAGTATAATGAACTTAAATTACATACATTGTGGTTTTCATCATACTTTAAAAAGTATTTAAGGTCACAAAAAATAAGATAATAATATATAGAAAACCCTAAGCTCCAGCATTTTCAGGAGATGGACCTTTCTTCTTCAGGGGTAACATAGGGGTATGGAATCTTTGAAAAAAAAAATTATTGTCAAAGGAACAAAATGCTAGAAAAATCTAGCTATTTTTCATAAAAATCTACTTGCCACTTCACACACAAAAAAGTAAAATATAACTTTTAGGATTTTGCTTTTTTTTAATAGTGAACATAATCATCATGATGCCACTGGCTGCTCGATTTATTTGGGAATGGCGTATACTGTGTTCTGTTTCTAAGCTCTTCATATATATTTATTCGTGTATTTTTATGGAGTCCCCCTGGTGGGATAGTGGTAAGTTTACAGACTTACAATGCTAAAATCTGAGGTTTGATACCCTGTGATGGACACAGCAGATAGCCCAATGTGACAATTATATGGTATTAAACATTTATTCATTAATATTTAACAGTGCAGAATGTATAATAACCCATAAAGAAATTATGGTTTATACTAGTTCTAAAATTGTTTTTATTATATATAGATATCGATAGATGTAAAACAATTTCAAGGTTTTTGTAATTTACATTATGTTATATATTTTTCCTAGAGCTAGCAGACAAATTTCACTTGTAGACAAAAGCATTGTAATAATATTGTAATGTTAATTCGTGTTTTCTTACCGTGTGTGCATGTGATTGGGGGTTTGTGAGTTTAAGGGGTATGTATATTTATTTACATAGTTTTGATTCAAGGTTTAGGGGTGCTTATTTTTAAATGTATGTGTGAATGTGCTAGATCTCCACTGTTCAAAATTTTCAGGAATTTGAGCGACTTCAAAGATATCTACTGAGAGTGTTTTCCTATCAATAAAACTGATGATATGACAAAAAAAAACTAGTTAATTTTCTTGTCCAACTGAAAGAGTATAATGATAAAACTTGCTGTTATGGGCATCCACACACATAGGTAAATAATAAAACCATGCAACATTGTGGTTTGTTATACATACCAGGTAACTGTGCAGAGATATGTTAATAAATTGATAGATCATTTACTGTAAACTTGTTTTGTTTTTTTACATTGTATGCTTATTACATCCAAGCTATGAAATTCTTTAAGCAAATGTAATTGAATATAGCATTGCAATAATCTGAAATGTCTATGTATCATGAGTGTAACCTGAAAAAACTAACATATCATTTCTGTGAGTTTTTAACAAGTCATCAGTGAATCACAGAACTATAGTTTCTATGAATTTCTAAACCATTGTTTGTTATTAAACATAAAGCTACACAATAGTTAATCTAAGCTCTGTCCACTATGGGTATCAAAACATGATTTTAATCATTATAAGCCCTCAGACAATACTGATGGGTGATTTTTTATCCTAATTCAGACAGTGATCATGGCATTGTTATAATACATTATCTATTGAACTCTAACTTTTTTTATGAAACATTTTAGGAACTGCTGAGACAACAAGCCACAATCTTTGAGTGTTTGTTCTTGAAAAGATGGAAACAAGCTAACCTGCAAATGTAAAGTAGCAAAATGTCCAAGGTGTTACAAGTGTAAAAGGTGTGGATGTGATCATAATGGCATATCAATTGCTCAGAATGTTAGCCTTAAGAGAGGTCAGAAAAGCTTCAGTAGAGGAGATGCTGTCAAACACCCAAAGAGAAGTATATCTGTTTACAGGGATGGTAAACTTATGGATGTCTCTGATGACTTGCCCTCAATGGGAAAAAGAGCAAAAATTATTCAATAGAATGATTCAAGATTAGATAAAGAAAAGAGAATATGAAGATTTTTTTTTCCATGTGAAATGTAAGAATATTACAAGGGTAAGAGGAGAAAGGAATACTAAAATAATAGCAAAGTAGCATGACCATAGTGTGCTGATGGTCTAATATGGGAGGACAGAAAGAAACTTTAATGGCTTCTCAGATCAAAGAAAACAGCATAGCAAAATGATCCCTGGATCATACCTTACACTGCCATGTACCTCAATCTTAGGCTTTGGATCTGTTAAATGTATCTTTGTAGTTAAAATAAGATATTTTAACAGTAGTTTTTTTTCTTATCATATAATATATTCAAAGCTAAGAAATTTCAGGTTATCAAAGCATTTGCCATTACTTGAAAGCAGTAATTTCAGTATTCTTGTGAGAAATGTGCGGTGTTACATTTGATATAAGTTTTGCTTAGTATTTTTAGCATGAAGCGGGTTTATTGCTGCTGAAATATTGTAAGTTTAATATATTTAGAGAAAAACAATCATTATCTTTATTGAGTGGTTTTTTTACAAAAGAAGTAATGACAATTAAATAAATTTTATATTTTGGATTATTTTGTAAATTGATGCTTCTGACAAAATTCTCTTTTTGCATTTGGTTCACTGTAAAAAGGATAACCTTTTTTTAATCATTAGTAATCCAGATGGCGATTCTACAAAGTCTGATTTTGTTCAAATGAAGCTAGGAGATGTGAGTGCTCTTTCTACACAACAAAACAATGTTACCGAATCTCAACTTTACATTAATTTGGTGTTTGCTCTTTTGGAGACGGATGGTGTTACAATAACAAGCGGTGACCTCTATTCTCTGGGTACCGGCTTGTCATTAGGAAGTACTACTATATGGGCAGGAGAAGCAAATTTTACAATGGAAACTGCACCTCCTCCCACCTTAACAACTGTAAGTACATAAAACCCATCTGAAGTGAACAGAATTTTTTTGTTGGGTCAATTTATATTTTTCCTTAAGCTCTAGAAAATTAAAGGGATAAGCATACAATATATTGGTTTATAAACTTTTTTAAAAAAAAATAAGTATCTAGTGGTACAGTATTAGAAATTCAAATGAATATAATGTGATTTTGTAGATGATATCAACCATCCACTTTACACTGAAATAATTGTTTTTTTACATATATTAAACATTTAAACTATTTAATAAACAATTTTAGTCACTTGCCTCAGTGTATTAAGTTTCGCTACAGCCTATAGAGTGAAACTTGGGATGATTTTAAATGTTGATATGTAATGTAGTTGTCAGTATGTATACAAGTATGCCAGTATGCATTGCTTTTTGTGAGCAACTAACAAGCTAATTAATCAGAAAGCTGTGTGTTGATAATGTTAATGGTATTTTGGGTTTATCTTGGAGATTCTTACAACTTGGTTATCAGTTAAGTTTATAATATACTGACAACTTTATTTTTATTCTGTTGCCTATAATATAGAAATAAACAAGGGTATATCATGATGGTTCAAGATTTTGGTTTAAATTGTTTTATCTGCTTGTTGTATTAAGACATTTAGAAGTGCACTATGATTGAGTTGATTACTAGATAACAATTCCAGGGCTTACATCAATAAGCCCTGACACCTAATGTGGAGGATAGCTGTCTCACAGGAGGTATAAGAAAGAGTTCCTTTCAGGTGTTACCAGAGGCTTTCAAATTGTATACTGCCATATTGAATACCAGTCTATTAGCTACACTACACAGTATTCTGTCTTCTGGCAATCTAATTCCCTTGAATATTGATGAATACCTTCCATGGTTGCCTTTTCCACCTTACTAGTGGAGAGAATTGATAACCTGCCAGTAAAGTTGTACCAGATTGATATGGGGGCTTCTCCTGCAAGCTTATCTGCTATCTCATTAATTTTTAACCTTGCATAGCCTGAAATAAACATCCAGGTGATTGTCTTGTGATGGAGTTGCTTTGCTTTATATCATTCGTCTGGAGACCAACCATTGAAGATTACACAATACTGCCCGTGATTCGCTCACAAATATTATGTTAATGGCACTTTGTAGTTGCTGCTTATTGCTTTCAACAATCCAGTTGAGAGATTACTTTATAGCTTCCAAATCCATTTTTTTTTGCAAAACTTGAATTCTCCACTAGCCTTGTGCAGAAATATTGTTGCTTTGTGAAATGCTGAATGCCCAACCAGCTCTTTAGATATCTATGATGTAGGAACTGTCTATGGCTATGATGACAGGTGATTGCTCATTGTGGTGTTTAAATAGCTGCTTACAGGCTTTTTATGTTTCACCCTCTACCCAATCTCTATATTTTCTGGCTAGGCTGATTCCCACGGATCTCAGTGGTGCCAGATGTTTATTTCACATGGGAGCATCTGACAGTTATCTCAGTTTTTGCTGTATAGCATTTGTCTACCTATGACTGTCATCTGGGGCACCTTTTAGGCAATCCTCTGCATGGTTGTTTTATGCAGAGTCACTGTGGAGCTATAATGTTAATTATAAATGGCAGTGGCTTAATGATGGAAGGCACGGTCTTTACACTGCAAATCTTTATACAGTGAAGAATTTTACTTGTAAACTCTGTTGGTTATTTGTGATGCTGTTGAGGCATCTGGTTGTATATAAATATACGTAAACCTGTTTCTTTCTATAACATGTTGTTTTATATAGCTTGTTTATACTAATCTTGTAGATATACTGGTAAAGTAAGACAAAAATTAAAAGGATTAAAGACATTGGATATCAGCTTCATTGTAATATTTCTTTCTGACAATTGGTATGGGAGTATTGGATATACAAGACTGTTTAGTGTAGGCATTATTATTTAATTTATTTTGTGAGTCAATATTTAATGATTGTTTAGTTTTTTATAACAAGAGAGTTAAAAGTTAATCATTTTAAAGGCGATAGTTATGACAAGTTTGTTTACGTAACTCTGTATGAGTCGTACATTGTGTTTGCAGTTACATTGTTGTCAAGGCTTTACTAATATTGTTTATGTTACATTACTCAAACCTTCACTATTTTTCTCATTACCTTAAATGAGTATTGTTAAATCAGCGCTGTTCGCATACTTTACAGAAAGTACGAAGCCTCGGTGATCAACATATAAGTATAGGTGACAAACTGAGCGCAAGTTAAGAACTGAACAAGACAGAAAAAGTTAGTTAGTGAAAGAAAACGTGAAATTAGCTGGTGTGTGAGTGATTAGCCATAATGGGCAATATTTTAAAGTGAGTTTCACAATTCAATAGAGATGAGGAGGATAATATATCTTGACAACGGGTGTTCTAAAGTAATTGAACCTGTCTGTGTGGACTTTGACGAAAAGGAGAAAATTATTTGAAATTCAGGATAGAAGTGTGGTAACTGACGGGGTAGCATAAGTGAATAATTCACTGATACTATTGTGATAAAAATAGCTCGTCTTGTCAATTGGATTGAATCAACCTAAGTGGGCTTTTGATAAGAAAAGGGAATTATTTAGAGTTTTAGATACAACTGTGATATCCTATAGTGTAAAGAATTTTGTACATACATTTGACTTGTTTTGAATATATTATTTTAAAACAAGTGGATTGTGTGCTGTCCGTTTGTTGTTCAAATTTCTCACCAACAAGTCACAGACATCTACTCTAAAAATATCCAAGCACATATACTTAAAACCCTGACAGGGACCACAAATATTAAACTGAAGTGTGACTTAGGTAAAGGAATAAAAGATATTTGTATTTAATTTTGGTTTGACTTTGTAATATTAAGCATTATAAGGCAGCATATAAATCAACATTTATTTCAGATGGAACAGAATATGTATATATTAAAGCATCTGAACTGCATTCATTTCACTGTTATAAAAACAAGTTAACTTATGATGATGTTTTTTTTCTGCATTCCTCTTAATACGTCCATTGTGGCACAATATTGCTGGTGTGTAAAAAATATCTTTTCAGATGTTTAAACTATAATTTTTATAGTATTATATTGCATAACTAAATTGTATTTCATAGAATCTCTTGTCTTTGCTCTCATCATCTGGCCCAACTGATGAGTTGTGGTAATGACTAAAAATCTTATTGGACAGCCACTTATGGAAGGAAAAAGATAGATTTAAAATGCTATTTTTTAAACAACTCTAATTGCAAGTCACAGTGGACAAACTAAGAGGAATGTATAAAAAAACATCTGCAGTTAACTTGTTTTTATAACAGTATTTGGCCTATTGATTTTCCAAAATTTTGCTGGCTTTTGGCATTTTGCCAGACATTTTAAAATGCTGCTATGATAAATTTCTTTTGGTTTATACACTTTTATTTATTATTATTATAGATTAGCTGAATGTCACTTTACTGTATTTATGAATGCTCTTTTTTTTCTTCTTCAGAATTCCATTTTACTGTGTTTAGGTTTTTCATCTTAAATTTTTTTTTCAAATTTCAGTATTGGAATGTATTTATTTTTCAGGATAAACAACCCACTGTTTACATTAGAAAAACAGATGACACCCCTTTAGTTCCAGGTTTCATGGGAGAATTTGAAATTATCTTAAAAACAGCACCAAAGTCAATAAGCCCATACACAATTGAATTGACAACAGATGACACTGAAATTAGTGTTTGTGGCATGTCAATTAAATCCTCAGGAAAAAGTATGCCATGTTTCAATCCTTTAGTTGAACCTGTATTTACAAGTCACCTTAACCCTTTTGATGGAAATAAGAAGGGTGTGTTGGACTTCAAAATGATTACAAATGTTGGTAAGTTACTGAGGGTAAATAACTAAATATATATTTTGTTTTTGTTATTTAATAGAATGGTGCAGGTAAAAACAGATTTGCACTGAAAAAGCAATTTAAAATAACTTATAATATTTTATATTTTCATACAATGCAAGTCAGTGTCATGAATTATAAAAATAATCTGTAAAGTTCTGTATAATTAGACAAAGCCATAAAATAGTGAACAGAAATGAACAATTGCTATGATGTTTTGTACTATTAACTCTAGATTAAAATAGATTTGTATCACTATTTAGTAGTTAAACGTTTTGTTAAATCTATTTGAAACAAAACTTTGCTTAGCAATAACTAGTATAATTAGTTGTGAAGTTTAATAATTGTTGAGGAATATATGACAGAAATGAAAAAACAATAACAATTATCAGTTTCCACCCTCACGTTGAACTTATTATGTTAGTTCTATACATAAAAAACATAGAACTTAATGCCTATAATGACATATATTTTTGTAATATTTATTACACATCACTAATTCAAAACAAATTTATTGTTTACGTGAAATTAATGAGGGAAAAATAATTTTATTAAGTATAAGATTCAAATAATTCTTTTTTTTATATGGCACAAAAGAAATTACTTTACACACTGTTCCTCTTAACCAAACAAGATTTTAGTTAGCTAATGTTTGGATAGTGTCAAAAGTACCAGCTAGATATTGCATCTTATTAAGCATAAAAGAAAATTATCATTAACATATTAAAGTTTTACATACCTTAGAAAATTCATACTGCTGCATTCATATTTTTGTCTGTATTTTTTATATATTTAGTTTTATAAATTAATAAATAAGTAATAAATTAAA